TCTTGTGCTTGCCTGTTGCATTCCAGGTAGTCAATGGAAATCTGCTTTGTTCCTTGAGGAACAGTGCACGTTAATTTTGCCTGTATTAAATCCTTAATTTGAATCAGTTCTCTCTTCTGTTATCCAGAAGCGTGCAGTCCAGGGTCTCTTGGCTGATGAAACCAGGTGGTTGGTATTAATTTGGCAAGCTCATGTCCTGTCAGTAAAATGATAGGCTAGCCTTTTTTCGCTTTCTTAATTCCTTCCACTTTTTTGTTTTTGTTTATCGTCCTTTCCCTGGTGGTCACTGATCTCCTGCATTTACTTCCACACCCTTTCGCTGCCTGCTCAACTACGTGTGTCTCTTTCATTACGAGTAGTGAAGGCCATACCAGTCAGGCTACAGTTGTCAAGTCCTTGTAATATTGCTCGTAATCCTAGAAGGTGCTGTATGCAACAACAAAATTGCCTTTGTGACAGTGGAAGAATACATAGAAAAGCATGAGATCTTTCAATTTACCATGAATGGTTTTTGCTGCCTTTATATTGACAAGGCCCCCCCCCAGGGAGTCTGGGGATCACCTTAATTTTCTTCCCAGGGATGGTAGCCAGCATGCGGGAGGTAACTGGGAGAAACGGAAGAGCTCCTGGAAATTGCAGGCAAAGCAGAAAGTTTAGCAGTAATTAGTATCTTCCACTTCCTGTGCGGTTTGTTTTCCGTTCCTGTGCCAGGCGGTGCTAACACAACATGCCTGTTTGAGTGATAGCCAGAAAGTAGGGGAGGGAAACGACACAGGATAAAAATCAAGTACACAAGGATATCTCTAGCCCAGCCAAATCCAGGCCCAGGTATTGAAATTTAGATTAGAAATTTTGAAATACTCTTTTTAGCAGCTATAAAATGCATGTTGTGATTACTGTGCTACTTAATTGAAACAGATTTAGGTTTAATCTCGAGCAACTCCTAGCCAAAGTTTGGACCTAGAGATGACTCTTAAGATAGGCATTTCCTCTGTATCCTCAGAGCATTTCAAGTAAGCTACAGGAGCTACAGGGCAAAGCCTATTACTGTGTTTTCTATCTTTGGCATCGCATGTTTGCTAATCCAGTGCTATGAGCATTAGTTTCCAGGGTATTATCTGAAATGGCTTTGTGAAATAGTAGATGGAGTATCCGTCAATGAAACAGAGCAACTTTCCTTGTAGGAACTACATGATCAGGTGTGAAAGAGTAATCATTGGAAGTGGGTTATCTTTCCCTTTTCATCAATCTTTTGGCTGTTTAGTTAAGTGGCTTGTGTGGTTGCAGTGGGAAGGAGGTGTTCAACATAAATTTCATTTCTGTTTTTCAAAATTCTGACACCTGTGGATTTTAGTGTTTTAGGAATGGGCACAAGGAAACTAGAGCTGCGGCATGCCAACTGTTTTCTGGCAACTGACCTCATAGAAGAAGGGCAGCATAAAGAGTGGAGAAATGTGTATATAACACATTTTTGTTTGTTAGCATGGGAAGAATCAAATTTCAGAAGTGCAAGTTTGAAAGGGATCATCTTTAACTTTTGTGCATGCTTAGTAGAAGATGGCATGATTCTCACCATGTACCCGTCTCAAAATTACTTGTGTTTTCTACTTTCCTGTTATAAAACAGGAGGGAAAAAAAAAAAAAAAGCAGGTGCTTTTATTTTTTTTTTGGAAAGCCACATCTTTCAGGTACCTGTGCCTTTAAACATTTGAAAGTGAATTTAACTTGCTATTCGTTGAACAGTATTTCTTCAAGTTGCCAATAAAAAAGTCTAACTCAGTCTGTGTTCTTATTACTGTAAAGAGATTAATGAACTTTAGCACTGAAATACAAAAATAGTTAAATCTACTTTGAGCTAAGCTAGTAAGCTCTTTGAGGTGTGAACAGTATTTATATCATGTATAGAAGGGCTGGTTTTGGCTTCAGACTCCTGCGATACAGACTGCTAGGAGTATGCAAAATGAGAGAATCGGAACTAAACTTCCCATTTGTGCATCTAGAAGCCTGTGATGGCATTATAAAAATATTCACGATAGCAAATCATAGACTTATGCCTTTCAACAAATAATCATGCATGCCTCCATCCTTCTGCCCAGCACATTATTGTTAAAATACCTAGAAGCAAGCTGGTTTAAAGGTCAGGAGTTGCACCTATAGTGGGTGGCGGTGGTTATGGGTATATCTCTGTGGTGCATTTTGGACAGATGTGTGCTTGCTTCCCCTGTACTTTGGCTATGTTAATGTGCCACTAAGCTGGTGCTGACAGATCCCACTTGTTAGCATGGATGTGGCACAGCAGGAGCACAGTCACGTGGCTTTTCGCCATTTCGGAGTGCAGGCAGAGTGAACAGGGGTCATCTTGGACTGCGACATGTAGAAATGCTGGTGTGCCTCAATGCATTGCTTCTGCGTCAGAGGAAGCGTCCTGAAGGAAAACATCCGGATGGCAGTTTTGGTCTTGCTCCCGCTTAGTGCCTCAATCGACAAAAGCATTAAGCTGGTCACCTGAGGAGGGATTCCCCGCTAATATAAACACAAAATAAGCAGAATTAAACTGAGAGTTAAAAATGGATTTGCTGACGCTAAGATAGCTCTGGAGCAGTATTCCTACCTTTAAAGCGTAAGGTAAATAGAAAATATATCATGAGTGTCTTAGCAGAGCTAAGGACATCTTTTCATTGCAAATTAGATAGGATCATCTCCATCTACAGAGTATGTTTAGGACTTGTGTCTGCTTTCAGAAAGCTTCCATTATAAATCATCAGAGTTTGTACCTCTGGGATTGCACAAACACAGTGGTGACCTTGTCCATTCTGTCACTTGTAAAACATGCCTTTCACAGCACACCAAGAGTGAGATTTTAGGCATTTTAGGCAAGTTGAATCACACTATAAAGCAATACCTAGCTACTCCAAAAGATATGGACTTTTTACAGCTGCATCTCTTCTTGAGGTTCTCAGGGAGCTAAAGCAGAAGAACAATAACCCTGTATTTTTCCTGTTTAGTTTCCTCAGAAGATGAGTGTTGAACATACGATGCTATGTGCTTGTGCATATACTACTGTGATAAACAGGATCATGGCACTGAAATTACTGAAAAATACGTCTTTTTTTTTTTTTGCACAGTTTTCTGGTTGCATCCACAACACAGCCCCAAAAGTAGCTGTAGAGGAAGAACTGGAACAGTGAAACAGGAAAGAACTGCTTTGGTTGGCATTGCCACTGAGAAAAACACCTGTGAACATGACATAAATGCCTCTATTTGTAAATAGGGGCTCTGAATAGAAGACGTGATAGTAGTTTGTTAATCTAGAAGGAAAAGCTATGAGTGGTTAAGGTTTGGGGAAGCCAGCTTCCTTCATAATGTTTAAATAATCTCATACAGTCCTTCTCGTGTAACATAGACATGTTTTTTGTCTTGTTTTTGTAGAGCGATAAGGTGAAAACACAAGAGATTTGGTTTGGTTTTCAGATCTGGTAATCATATGCTGGGACTTGCATTGCCAAGTGAGAAAACAAATTCATAAAGGCTTGTTTTTATTTATTACTGATATGCATAATTTGGATCATGGAATAAGGTTACTTTGACAAAGTCAGATTCAAAGGATTTGAATGTCTGTCCGTAAGTGGTACCTTGTCCTAGAAAGGATGATCAGTGATTCTGTACCAATGTATTGGCAAATTCAAATGCAATAAAATAAACTGATATGAAACCTCAGGCGTATCGAAACTAGGGAAGTCTTGGTGATGGAACTTGAAACCATTTTAAATCCACTTGAGTTGGGTTTTCTGCACAAACTGCAGATAATGTAGGCTTGTCAAAATGTTCATCCTAGCTTGTGTTCCTTCTAAGTGAACCTATGTTAACAGCTGTTTTCTTGCTTTTATTGTGAGGATTGATTCATGCTTGTCCTGCTCAGGTTCTATAGCTAATGAATGGTCCTGTTGAATTTTAGTTAGGCTGTCTTACCCAGAGATCTGTCAACACCATTCCTTTCCCTATTTTTCTCCAAAGTTTCAAGAAAAACCTCATTTTTCCTGAGTGCTTAGAGATCAGAGCTCTCTGCATATTGATAAGCTCACCAGATTCAAGTTGGGATGCTATACTGAAGTGCTTTCCTATTATCAATAAAACAAAGGCACCGTTGTGGAAGGTAAGACGATAAAATGCACAGCTCAGTTCATATACCTGCAATGGTATTTGAACTCGCTTCTCCTCAGCTATCCCTCTCCATCAAATATACTCTGTCACTACAAATTTCTGAGCAATTGCAGACACACTGTTGGTAAAAAAAACCCAAACCCCAAAAAGCAACAAAAAAAATTAAAGCAATTTCAGAATTTCTTCCTCCCAGTGTAGAATTTCCTGCCTGGAATCCCATGCTGGTGAAAACCCAGCCGTCATCCAGATCTGAGTCTCAGTTCCAATAGGCGTTAACAATGGCGGCTGTAGTGTGAGAATCCTGCAAGCCTGTGTAGCATGAAGACTTTGTGACTTATGTGACTTTTCTTTTTAAAAGATGACTTCAAAAAATTTGCTATGGCTCATGCACCTGAAATTGTCAACATAGAGCTTGAAAACTGATCCCGCAGGGAATGTTTTTTATGAATCACTGAAAAGGAAAGCGATGAAACTCTGTAAAGTATCAGTGACAGCTATGACTCATAGCTTCGGATTAAAGCAATGCAGGACATGTGTAACAGTATGCAGACAGCAGCTTAGATACGGAAATGCAAAAATATTACAAAGGATATTCCTAAAAGCAATTTTCAGGCAGGTATTAACCTCCAAAGTGACTCAGAATATGGTCACCTCTGAGGTTATTTAAATTATCCAAGGAGATACGGTTTTTGTGGATTGTTATTTTGTGGGGCTGTTTCTTGTTTTCAGAAGTCAAGCTTTTTTCTTTTCCTTCAGACCTTAGTGCTTCTATAAATGTGATCCTTTTCCCTTTCTGTTATTTTTCAGGGAAATACTGTATTTGCTGCCTCTTACCATTATTGGAATAGAAGCTGAGAAGCAAGAGACATGTTGGAAACAATTGGTAATCTTTTTTTATTTGTATCACTATGTTTTTGTGGCCAAATCAAGTGTGCATGATAGATTTAGGACATTGGTGTATACTGCTGAGAGAGATTTTGTAAAACATATCTACTGTGCTTAGAAATATGATGTATTTGGGTTTTTGTATTTTGTATTTAAAAACAAAAGGTGTACCATCATTTGTTTAGTGTATTTAATTTTTAGCATGTTGTCTTGATTTCATTGTTTTAATGTTTACTAGAATTAAAAAAGTTCATATGAGAAAGACAAATGTTAATGAGGACTCTCACTTTTGTAACGCAGTTCTTGATGGACAAAAATGTAATTTTCGTTGGCTTGTGGTTTGTGCTCAGCCTCTGACTTCCTGATTCATTAGACATGTTTGGGCTGGGATTTTCGTTCAGAACTGAACCATTCAAGTCCTCTGTAGTTTAAGCAGTAGAGAGGGATACATTTAAACCTGTTACCTGCTTGTATGTGGCTGTTTATAAACTGCTCCTGACTAGGAATGATTACCGCTACAGATACACATCGGGCCCTCCAGGCCATGGAGCGCTTGCAGGCAAAACTTCGGGATCGAGGTGACATTGCAAACGAGGAGAAACTGAGCTTACTAAAATCAGTGCTGCAGAGTCCTCTCTTTAACCAAATTCTCAACCTTCAGACTTCTGTTCAACAACTGAGAGATCAGGTAGGAAAAGCAGCCTCCCAGGTGCAAGAGAAAAATTGCTAAGAAGGTGCAAAAATGTGTATGTCTCTGTATCTTGACTAGTGAAATCAAATAGCCTAAATTAAACGTCTGATCCAAAGCTTCAGGAACTGAGGTGGACATTTTCTGGGCTTTGTTTGTATATGTGTTTTTTATGTATATGCTTGTTACTTACGATGTGCATGGTAGGGAAATGGTGATACTGGGTGGGGAGTTAACATAAGGCTTTCTGTCTCTGTCCTTTAAAAAGGAACATGTTTTGTATGAGGTCTTAGGAGTTTTTTTCTAGGAGCCTTCTATTGCTCTCTTGTGTCTTACCCTGCTAAAATGAGAATATATAAGGGAAGCTGTGGAATGTTGACTTCGGAAGGATGCGACTTTTTTTTTTTTGTAGGAATAAAAGATCAAAGAGAAGCAAGAGCTCCTACCTCCTTTTTCCTTGCTCAGGGTTTTAAGTAAAAGTACTACTTTTCTGCATGTCTTTGGTGAGGATGAGAAAAGGGGCAGCAACTCGGCTATATTGACTTGATTATTTAATACTATAATTTAATTTCCTTACAGCAGAATAAGAACTTGAAAAATATAAAAAGTAGTTCAGTAACTGAATTAGGACTAAACTGCATATCTGTCTTTGCAAATAGTTGTTCCTGTTGACTCCTACAAGATGGGCAGCTCTGTGCTCTGTTACGCAGAAATGCCGAAGTGGGAGGATGCAGCCCCCGCACACTGACCTTATTGTCAGCGTGGAGCTGCATCTGGTCTCTGGTCGGATTGAGCTGGTGAGGAGTCCTCACGGTCTTGACGCTACTTCAACTGTGTGGCAGAAGAGCACAATCTGGCCCTTTATTGCCTCTTCTGGATCATCTTGATGCTATTTTGCACAGACAAGAAATAAGTTAGAATGGTGTCTACGTGACCATGTTTTCAGGTTTTGCATGTTTGGTATATAGAGACTTGATGACATTGGAGTGATTTAAAAAAATCTAGGAAAAAAAGCTGTTCTGAGAGTTTCTTTGCTCTGCTATTTGAAAAGGAGAATTTAACAGTGACATTCAGAAATGATGTGAATTATGTGGTGATGACTCTGGGAACGTGTAGTGAGAAATGAAAGTATGCCTGAAGCATTAATGAGAATTTGGTGAAAAGGCAAATTAAACTTTCACTTCCAGACATTAGCGGTGAAGTTAAAGGATGCTTCTCTTTTTAAATACAGCCACCTAAATTAGTAAAATGAAGCAGCTGGTACTACAGATGGGCAATTTCAGATGTGTATTTTTTAAAAAGCAAATAATAATTTTACCTGCTGCCCTAACCCTGCTGGTTTATCTGTGCGGTAACTTTAGTGGCCTGTGCATGTTGCATGGTACATATCCAGTCTAGCTGACAGAGGAGCTGCTTGGATGTGAATTCCCTTCTTGATATGTGCTTATATGAACACTTGCACATGCAAATGTATGTTTCTGGCCATTCTTAGATTTGGGTCAGCTCTTCAGAAAGTATCCTGTGATTTCTCTATAGAATAATTTCTTCCCTACAATATAACATGAGATTGTCTGTCTCTTCTTTGCTTTATTTAAATGTTTATAAAGCATATTGAAACAGGACAAAGAATAAAATCATGAAATAGGCAGTCATGTTAAAAATATATTTCTTGCATTTTCAAAGGCTCAGTTTTGTTCAAGGTCACATTTTAGTTTTCTTTTTATGGTTGGGAAGGCACTGTGCTCTCAAAACTCTTAAACTACAGGTTGGTGAAAACTGCAAGGCATGTGAATAGCGACCAGGGCTTTTTGGCCAAGCCATGCCAGACTGAGGAAGGAGACAAGTTGTTTCCCAAGCACTTGGAGTCAGAGCTATGTTTGAAACAGCATGACAAGTCGTGCTGAGCTGTGCAGTGGCTAGGTGTTGCAGTCTCTACCCACTCGAGACTAGGATGGCTAAATTTTTTTGATGTTTCACAATGAGCTGCACTGAAAGTTGAACGGGGGTCTGTTTCTTCTCAAGGTGAAGTGTAAGTGACGGTCTGTTAAACAGCTTCTGTGTTTTTAATTAGTTTATGAGTTTTTAAAGAGCTACAAGACTATTGTAAAATTCTCAGGAGAAGGCCATCTTTTAGGAAAGTATAGGTTGAAAGAGAGGATGGGAGCAGAGAAGCAATAATGGCAATTTACTTTCTAAGTCAAACTGATTCTTTGCAAGCATCCCAGCAGAAGTAGGTCACTAAGTGAGACCTCCTTGTAGGCCTGTATTGGCCTCAATAAATTTGAGGGTAGGATGTGTTCTGTCTTGAGGCACTGTGTCTGGAAGACAGAGAGATGATAGTGAGAGCCCCATCTTCTGTTTGTGCAGTGAGTCTGGAAAATGAGCTGGCAAATCATGTAAACATCTGTCATGTTTTCCTAGCAAAAAACAGGATGCAAATATACAGTTTTAGCAGACAAATACTCCTTGCATTCCAGTGAGAGTTACTACCATTTTTTATAGTCTAAAATAGTAGACTTCCTTTTCTTTCTTTTCCTACAGATAAATGATCTTTTAAGCACCAAAAGAAGATCTGAAAAAGTGTGTGTTTCTGCATGCATGGAGGTGTTTCAGATTTGGTGTCCCATTTCCTTAAAGCTTCTGTGTGTTAATTGGAAATTGATCCCCTTCATTGTTGGTGTGTGCTTTACACGAGCCTCTTGAGTTTGCATTTGTGTTACATGCAGTGGTGTGGACTGAATGGTATGTTGCTTCATCTGGATGTTGGTGAGGCATGATGCTAAAGTCATCAAATCTGATGCTCTGGTGCTTATTGGTAGGTGCTTTAAATTTTTTTTTTCTTAAACAGGCAAACAGGATTTGTTTGCACTGCAAATCTGTTATTGCGAAGCTAAGAACTGCAGTGGGAAAGGTCTAGGGACAGCAAAGGGATGTTTTTTTGAGAATCACTGTCCTGATTTATTAGTCACTTGAGTTGAGGAGCACTCAAGGAACCCAGTTTTTTTTTGCCTCTTCATATCCTTGTTCTTCAGTGAATGCTTATTTTCTCATGCTGAAGAGCAGTCTCGTTGTTTGAAGATAAGGGAGTGATAGAAAAGAAAAATAGAGATTGTGATGTTTTGAACTTTTCAACAATATTTTCTTTTCTTTGAAAAATATTTTAAAGAAAATACTCAGACTGTGCTGGCCGTCCTTTCCTGCTTCTCTTCCTTTCCTTTTTGCCTCTCCCTTGTCCACCTCCTCCTCCCCTCCTCCTCCTGCCTCCACTCCACTCAGGGCTCTGCCAGAACAAAATACCCTTCCCTTGGCTGGGCTGCATTCCTCAGATTTTTTTTGCTTGTGAGTTTGACCGTAGGTTTTCGTTCACAATGCAGTAGTGGGGAAGAGTCCCTCCCGCAGCGCAGCACACACTGGGTTGCATGGGATGGCTGGGTGTCAGCACTAGAGTCGATTTAGGGAAGAAATGGAGAAACTGTGTCTTTTCATATTGCCTGTGAAAACTCACTTAACTCTGTGGTTTGTACAACTAAGGGACACCTTTAGTTCCTGTCCGGAACCCCTTTCTGCAACAATGCCATTTGCTCCATGTTCTGAAATGAAATGCTTATAAGAAATGCTAATTTGGAATCTGCTTCACCCGCCCCGAGGGTGGAGACGTAAAGGAGCAGCCAGCAGGGCGGTGCTGGAGCAGTGCTGGTGCCAGTGCCAGTGCCTATTCTCGGGGAGCCTGGGGGGAGCCTGGGGGCTTTTGCTGCGGCGTGGGGAGCGCCTGGCAGGGCAGGGTGCCTGAGAGTGCTCTCCTCGCTGCCCGCCTCCCTGCAGGGCTCGCACGGCGGCTGGCTTGCGCTTCGTCGCTTCCAGTGCGGTCACTGTTGCAGCAGACTTTTTTGCTACTCGGGACACCTGGCAGTCAGCTGAAGTACTGTCCTCTGCTTCTTGGGGTCTCCAAGGGCCGGGGCTCAATGACTGGAGTGCAGAAACACCGAGAATTCGTTCCTGACCAAGTTGAGACCTAGCAATGCCAATTACATTACTTTAAATGTTGATGCACTACTGACATGGCTTGGATAGCACCTTTTTTGTTAAAAAAAATATTTTGAGCACTGCATGTAAGCACTATTTGATTGCATTTAGTGTCTATCTGTGTGACTGTTATGTAGGTTTTATCATACTCAGTGGTATTTGTGAATTTTTCTTTTTGTCTTATGCCCAATTATGTCCGCATTGCAGATGTTATATACAGTAAGGAGAAAGCCAATCAAGGAAAACTAGTATAAGCCAAATTATAAAACAAAAATCAATATTCTTTCATACGGTACTTACACAATCACAGTGCTATAAAGGTACTTCTTGATGGAATTACGGTGATTTTATTACTGCAAAGTAGTGCAATTTATATATGTTATGAAAAATATTTCATGCAACCACAAGAGCATCATCTTTCTAAAATTTCCACTTGTGGTTTATTGCTCCCCCTGGAATAACCTACACTTCTGCAGTTAGCAAGAATATAAACCAGTTGTTCTCAACTTTTTACATGCTATAAGCCTGTATTTGTGGGGGGGGGGGGACAGGGAAGAGAGTCGTCGTCACGTTTTTGCTTGTAATTTGTCTGGGGATTCTGAACTTCTACCTTTAGGATCATTATAAATGTCATTATGAAACAGAAATGTTTTAAAGTGTAAGTGTGTGTTATGGGAGAGAAAACATTCCGAAATCTAAGTTTTTTGCACACACACATACACAAAATTTTATCCTGTTAACAGTTTGACATTTTTTCGTAGAGTTTTGTTTTTTTCTTGGAGTTTCACAAGTCAGAAGCCGCTTTATGTGAGGTAGGCTTCCCATGTTAAGCACATCCCCCATTGAACGTATAGCTGTGTTTCTTTAAAAAAGGTGTGATGAAAATAAGGTGTTGCTATCAATTGCTATTGAAGAGGTGTTGTTTGATACTGCATTGTAGCTGTGCTGTAATCACGGTTGTACTGAAGATTTGAGGTGAAGCTTTTTAAAGTTCTAGTTAAACTGGTGTGGATTGGAGGGTTATTTTTGTCTTTTCCTGCTATATATAGATGCAGCACTTCTTTTCAGTGGTATTTCAACCATCATGCAAATAAAAACCATCCAGTGTCTTCAGAATAATTGAGTTAATACTTAGTTATGGAAAATGTTTTAGGAAAACATGAACAACTTCCATCTTCTGGTTTGGAAGGCAGGAGGAATGGGAGAGGTCAGTCAATTCCTATATGGTTGCAGTGATGTTCCAGCTCATACAAGTATGCAGAAGGGATGAAATGTCAGACTGAGAAGGTCGGCACTATATTGCCGGTTTGAACAGGGTTTGGTCTATAAAAGCATACAATGTAAAACTAAAATATGAATCAGCCTGGTGCTACTTCTATTTTAGCATGGCAATGTGTGAGTTTTCTACCAGAGAGAAAAACATAAATCCTTAAGGAGACTGTCATATCTTAATTGAAGAACTCCTTCAAACTTACCTAGAGAAGAAAATGGTGATACTGGGCACATGTTCAGGTGGAAGTTAATGTGCCCATCATGGCTAGCCTGCCATTTGAACATTACGAACAGTGAAATGAGCTGCCTAAAGCAATCCTTTGTTACACAGTACTAGCAGAACATATATAGAACATAGTACAGGATGAGCACAGAGCTCCTTTGCATACTGAAGGTTGTGCTGTATGGGATACTGAGTGGTACAACAAGTATTTTAGATTCAGAGAAGGCATATAATATAATTCATTGTAAGGGCAATGTGTCATACTCAATAAACTTTTATTTATTAGGGCAGTTCAGTGCTATTTTCTAGAATGAGCACTGTAATTTAGAAGATGAACATGTATCCATGACTCACTAACATTTGTGATATCAGACCCATATACTATAGCCTGTGAGTACACATGAGTAGTTGTTTGGGTTTGCATCTCATATACTCTTAGGCGGCTTTATCTTGCTGTGGAAATGTGAAAATGTTTTTAAATAGAAGCAGTGCAAGACTGGCTGATTACAGTGGTGTTAGATATTCTAACAAATAATAATTTGACCCATGACAGTTTTTTGCGGGAAGGAACATGACAGCAGGATGTATAAGAAGATTTGAAGGTGGAAGAGAACAAGAAATGAAGCACATTAATTGACCAAGTTCAGTGATATACTTTTATACATTGAAGTGAGTGACATTGGGAAGGTGGAAGTGAATTAACCTGTTACATGGACTCAGGCAGATAAGAAATGCAGTATGGCATAGATATTAGTTTCAAATCCATGCATATAATGTGAGGGGAAATCTTGCATTCATTGAAGGGCAGAATTTGATTATGTCTCTGGGTGGTGTTACGTGTAATGAACTATGAAACAAGGCTTGTCCACCTGTGCCTTACAGGCGTGCTGAAATGACTGTATGTGATTGAAGAAAGTGCATGTGTGCACATTGTAAGCATCACTCAAGAGATTCCTCACAGATATAGGCAACAGAACGTAATCACCATGTGATGGAAATCACTGAGTTCCAAACATCCCGGTTTCCTCTTTCCAGTTTCTTATGGCAGAGCCGGTTAAGTGCTGTTGAGGACTTTTCTTTCCAGTGCTGTCTTCTGGTATTTTTTTCTGTAACTTGAGGGTCTTCCCAGGCACATAAGGTGTTCAACAAATGATGTTTGTTCCATTATATTTTCCTAAAGCACCCAGATGAGAGGGAATTACGTGATGGAGAACAATACTGACCTTTTAACGACTGGACTGTTGGGAGAATGATATGATAAACCTAGTGGAAGTAGCATGCTTAAACAGTTGAGATGGTGCAGTAGACATTTTAGAATACAGTTACAGTTTTGAATGATACTTGAAGTTTAAAAATAAGGCTTCAAGGAAGGGGAATCCCAGTCTTTTGTATTGTGGTGCAGAATGCTAGAAAATTTTCACTGTGAAACTATGAAAAGTATTTGAGGCTGCAATATTGTGATCTTAAATTGTGGGTTAGTGTGCCAGGCAAGTATGAAACAGATTGATGTGGAGTAAAACAGTGCCTGTTGACAGTCAACAGGCAAGTGGGACATCAGCCAAATGAGGGCTCCTGCTTCACCTGAGCGTTCTACCACCACCAGCCAGTCATTAGATTGGTCAGCAGAAATGTGCTTGAAAATAGGTAATTTAATATGGCTGGGCAAAGCGGAGAATTTTCTTATTTTCTTTTCTGCTCTAAGAGAAGTGTATTGTCAAGGCTGCCTATGTAAAGGGATGACTGTGGTTTTCAGATCAGCCTGGTGATTTTAGACTTGTTCAGTAATTTTGTATTTAATTCTAGCTCATGAGAGAGTCACAATGGCCGCCATAGTGCATAGTGATGCAGAAACCCTGACCAGTGCAATTTGTTCCCTATGTAGCTGGTGAGGTTTCTTCCTTTTTTCATCAAAAATGCACATACTTTTTTTTTTTTTTTTTTTATAAAATAATTGATAAATTTGTTTTTAAAAATACTGGTACTGTAGGAAAAGCTTGTTCATACTGTTTACCTCTACCATTGTGTTGGAGTACTTCAAGCTGCTATGCTGATATGAACAAAAGAATTTTAGGCAAAGTATGGAAAATAATTTTAGATTATTTTTATCAGGTTCTTTCATGTTTTATACTGATAATTCACAACTTTACATTGATGATAAATATTAAAGATAATTTTGCTTTTTAAAATGTCTTTTTAAAATTGCAAGTTGGGTTTTCAAACATTTTTAACAAGCAGTTGGCCTATCATGGTGCTCTTGGATAAGGAGGAGGTTTCTGCTTTGTCTATAAATCTGTGTTGCCATCAATCTTTTACAGGTAAATATTACACCTTCCATACATTCCACTGGTGAATTCCCCCAGCTTCTCCATCATGGTGTGAACGTGGGGTCCTTGCCACATAATGAGTCATATTTGTTGGCTCAGCAGAATGGCAGTCCAGCTAATGTGCTAGAAGCATCGGTGAGACCCATTACTCCTCAGATTAATGGAAAGTCCTCTAGTGATGACTTTGAGCAGCTGATCAGAAATATGTCCCAGGTAAGCATGTTGTTTGGTAACCACAAAATGCGGATCACTGATTATCTGGAATATTAAAATACATGTATGTTTATTTGAAAGCAATTGAGTTGTTCAGCAAACCAGAGCTCACTTGCTATATAAAACAAAAATAACCTTTTAATTTGAGGAACAATTGGTAAATGAGAAAACAGTTGGAAAAGTAGCCTTGACATTGTCACTGCTGAGTTATTGTCCTTAGCTGGGCAGTGTGCCTCTCACAGGTCAGCATGTCATCTTTCCACGCTCATTGTAGGACTGCCACTCTGTGGGTGAGAGAGATGCTTTGTCAGAGCATGCTCTTGTATGCGTAACTAATGAAAGCTAGTTCTGTGACTTGCTTGGAAATAAGATGGAAAATTCCTTTTTGGCCTTGCTATGCATTGTTCTGTAATCTTACCGCTTTCCCGTGGTAGGCAGAAATGGTGTATTATGAGTCCTTTCCGTGGCTGGAGCTGAGAATGGCCAGGCAAATATTCTAGCATTTTTCTGATTAACCTGTAGTAGAGCCAGATAGGGGAAGTCTCCTGCTGTTCTCCTGGAGAGCCTTTTGCACAGTCCTACTTTTCCCTCTTTCTGAAATTTGTCGTCTTTTGTAGTTCTGCTTGAGATTTGGCCTGTACCCTCTAAAATTTTATAGATACATATATTCTAGTTTAGTCACTACTAAGCCTAAACTCTGTATATTTAGCTGTTGTTTCCTGATTTCCTTTTCTGGGCTGTAATAATCTTTATTTCTCAAATCTTTCATAATTGCCTCTTTTCTGTATGATAGCGAGAAATCAGAACTGAACAACTATGTTTCAGTTATTAGCTAGTGTAGCCTTGTCCTGCTGTAGCTGTGAAATTAGAAACTCATTTCCAAGTTGTTTACCACATGTATTAATGCTGCTGTTCAACATTTTTAACATTTGTACCCTTTTTTTTCTTCTACTGAACAGGGTCGTCTTGTTGAGACCATTGAGCTTATTAAACCTTTAAGTGGTGGTCTGGGCTTCAGTGTCGTGGGACTCAAGAGTGAAAACAGGGGAGAACTAGGAATATTTGTGCAAGAAATCCAGGAGGGAAGTGTGGCACATAGGTAAGATTACTACTGGAGTATTTTACTGTACCAAGTGTTAACATGACACTGCAATTTAGTTGTGTTATTGCTGTTGTTCTTGTGGTACAAGGGCATGTTTCTCTCGTATTCTAAGCCATACATCATAGCAGATTTAAAACTACTTATCACTACAATTTATGTAATGTTGGAACAGGGCAGCGTATTACCTGTTCTGAATTTCTAGAAACTACAGATGTAGTTTCTCTGTGGTTTGTTCATAATATCTCCTTTCCAACAGGGAAAATGGGGAGGTTACTGTTCTGTGTCATGGCTTTTAAAGCTGAAGTACAGATTTTGCTGTCCTTGAATGCACTGAAAAACAATTTGGTGCAAAAAAATCAGTTGTAACCAGCAGGGTTGTTTGTTAGGTAGGGTCCCACTGAGCAGGTGTGAAACGCAGCTTTTAATCAAGCAGGGCTTGACCTAAAGTTGTTAGACTCTTAAAAGAGATATTCAGCTGATGTTACCAGAAACTCAGCAATAATAATAACAATAATAGCTTGCTGAAAGTATGCTTTAGACTTTAATCCTGATTCCACAAGTAGTGTTGAGAGAAATGGATTTCTTCGGTAAGAACAGCCCGAGGGAGCAAACAAACTCAGTGGTGAATGGCAGCAGCGCTGGTTCACTGCAGACTCATGGGGTGTATCACTGTGTGTGGATTTGCTGATCAGGATCCTGGCCAGAGCTGCTTTGTGGTGTGCTCTGTATGTTGTGTGGGGCAGCTGAGTCATCTCCATGCTGTTTCTCACTGTGCTGTAGGGAGAACTTTTCTGATTATTTGTGCTCTGAACACTGTCCTTTTAACAGAGGGCAGAGTGTGGCCTACAGAGTTAATTCAGTTACGAAAAGTGGCCTGCTCTGTGTCATTACAATATTTTTCAATCTGCCTAAATTCTACTTTCTTCTGTTTTCTTTTTTCTTCCTTCCCCTTCAAGAGGCCTTTGCTTTTACTTCTCTTATTCCATGGAGTTGAGACCTGCCTTTACTGAATCAGGCCCTGCCCGATTCACTGGCGAGAAGAGAAACATTCAACAACTGTTACAGGGCTCATAAATCAGAAAGGCCCTGGCAGTAATAAGTCTTCAAGAGCACTCTGAAAAACAGTTCAAATTCACAAGTGAAATATTATGGGTTGAAGCTAAACAGTGTTTTTCCTGAATGCTGTTGAGTACCTTGGCTTCTACACCGTAGGTGCTCACAAAAGCTGGTGCGATACGGATCCTTGTTTTTGTTGCTGCCCTTTGTTTTCAAAGCATTGCCACTTCAGGATGTTGATGACAAGACTCCAGAGTTTTTGCTGGGTTCTTGCAGAAGCAGTAGAAGTGGTGGAGGAGGCAGAGGGTAACTCATCTGTATAGGCTTCATACGCTTCCTTTGAAGTAGTTCTGGGGAAGGGCTCAGTATGTAATTTTATAGTAGTGCTTCCTTTGTCAGAAAGTGAAGAGTTATTTTTTAATTTGTTCAGGGCTTTTTTCCCCCTCATTTAAAAGGGATCTGTTTTATCATTTTCTTTCTGTTTCTCTCTCTGCCTCCCCTTCTTTTTCTTTTTTTTACAAAATTTGTTTCTGTAACATCTTGATGAAAATGTGTTCCACTCCATGGTTTGATGAATATTCAGAATGGGCACACTGAACAAAGTGGAGCACTTGGTCTGTTAAGCAAGAGGCTCAAAGTCAAGAATAAACATAAGTTCCCAGGCTATGGTTGGGAGCGACTGAGATCTAATATGCTTAGTCTCGCATGGGGGTACAAGGAGAAGGAAGCTAGCTAGGGGGTAGTAGCCAAGGGAGAGTGGCAGTGGGATTAGCTTCAAAGGAAGCGATCACCAGGGTGCCGCATCAGCTCCTTGCAGCAAAACTGCAGGGAGAGATTAAAAAGTGGGGGAAATAGAGAACAGGTTATTAAACGTACTGGAAAATTGTCAAAATATTGTAATTTCTGTGGCAACACTTCTTTGGTTTTTCTTGTTTGTTTATTTTGTCGTCCCCTTTCCCTGTTTACACATACATGACAGAGATGGAAAGCTGAAGGAAGCAGATCAAATCCTTGCTATTAACGGACAAGCCCTTGATCAGACAATTACACATCAACAGGCTATCAGCATCCTACAGAAAGCAAAAGATAACGTCCAGCTAGTTGTGGCCAGGGGCACTTTTCCTCAGCTCATCAGTCCTGTAGTTTCCCGGTCTCCATCTGCTGCTAGCACAGTTTCAGCCCATTCCAACCCGGTGAGTACACCCCAAACGACTGTGTATTCAGTTCTGGGTATGTATGCGCTTACTGCATCTAGTATTTTGAGACTTTTTTTTGTAACTTGTGTGTACATTTCCTTCACAGTTCTTGAGGTTTTTCTTCTATTTATCTCTGTTGTACCTTTTCCCATGCAAAGAGTAGAAAATATTCAGGCTTGCTGGGGGGCATCTTGATCTTGGATGTATTCCTTCTTCCCATCTGCCAAATTCTCTGTATCCACCAATGCAAATACAGCATGTTTACCTTAACTTCATGAAGGTTTATTTTGAGATAGCAGTAAACAGGATCTTTTTTTCTCTTTGCCTTGTACTTGGGCAAACAGAAATTTTTGAGGCATTGCAATCTGATCTGCACCACCAGCTGGGTGGGTGCTTCTCTGTTTGTTTCTCTGTTGTTTGTTAGCGGTGGGGCTCAAATAAAGCAACAAGAGAGAGCCATCAAAATGCCATGTGTAGGGACACACTTTAGGACCCCCAGAAAACAGCTCTGCTGTTTCCTTTCTTTTGAAAGCTTTTGCACATCTAGGTGTAGAGAACATAGCTCTGAAATGCGGTGATACTAACTGCACTTTCTTTTCCTGGTATCTTACTCATGTAATGGCTTGTCCTGGGATGAAACGGCCTATCTTTGGTTTCTGTAGGTTTCGCTGTTCAGTCATCTGTGGCTCTTCTTTAAGGGAGTCGATAATCAGAAGTATACAGAGCAATCAGTCTAGAAAAAGCACCTATTTTAGTGTTTATTTTAATCATTAGCATAAAACCTTTAGTGAAGAAATTTCAGAATCTTTTCTTCTGTGTACAGGAATAAAGCTGATTGGCCTGTCTTTTCTTGTCCCCACATAGGAGAGGCCTGCTCTCTTCCAGTATTCCCGTGACACATTTCTTTCTCTATGTGATTGCCTCTGTATTCTCCAAACAGCTTCCCTTGCTTGAAAAAATGTTCCTTTCAAACCTGCCACAGCTTCTTCTGTTTTTTCATGCATGCTTTTCCCAGTCCTTGTGTTCCCTTCACTTTCAAATGCTGGGGGAAAGCAGCTTATCTGGAGCCATTCTTTTTTCTTCAGGCTTTGCTTGGTTGAACCAACCATCATTGGTTTATGTTAAGACTGCGGATTCCCAAACAGGTACTACAGGGCTTTGAATTTGTAGTACCTTGATTATTCCAAAACAACTGCTTATTTTCAAATTCCTACCTGGTGGAGCACCAGCTGCAGTTTTAAATTTCAGATGTTTTTATGGTGTGGTTTGTTCTTCGGGAGAAACAATACCAGGAGTTTCCAGTCATCCCTTCAGTACCACCCCACGTGAGCAAGCTAGCATTTGTCTTTCTTTCAGAACAGTTTTACTCCTGTCAGAACGTGAAGCCTGCCATCAGAGCTACTTCATTCCAGTGCTGTTGTCATCAGACAACCCAGAAATCTTTGTTCAATACACAGGGGACAATTCTGCTAATGCCCACCTCGCAATACCTGGTACTGCTTTCAGCTTTAACCTCTGAATTGGTTTATGCTTTCTCCTGTGCTTTGTTATAACGGCCGATGTGAACATGCACTTATCTGAAGATTTTAATTTCCAATCCTGTGAGATTTCCTAGCAGCAGTATTTTTCTCACTGACTACAGTGGGGCATGGAGGTGGACAGTCCTAGGTTGCTGCTTAAATTCATTCAGCAAGTTCTTGAAAGGCCTGACCCACTACCCAGCTCTGGTTTGTACCGGAGAAATTGCATTTGTTATGGAATGAGCAATTTATTGCTTAAATATTATGTAATCTTATACCTAATAGTAATTTTTAGAAGGGTCCTATATTTCCACCTTCCTCCCACCCTCCTTTATTCAAAAACATACTCAAGAAATAAGAGAAAATATTTTGCAAGTTTTAATATGTATGTTGTTATTTTAATCATTTGCAAGCTTGTATTTATTCCTTTTAGGTTCACTGGCAGCATGTGGAGACCATTGAGTTGGTGAACGATGGCTCAGGTCTGGGATTTGGGATAGTGGGAGGAAAGTCAACTGGAGTGATTGTTAAAACCATCCTCCCAGGAGGGGTGGCTGATCAGGTAAATTCAACCTACCCTTCTGTTTACCATTCAGTAAAATGTGAAGTTACTCTTTACTTTTATAATCATGCTAAGCAGTGGTAGCTTTTTTCCTCATAAGTGTAAAAAGAGAGAGCAAGTGGTGAAATTTATCCTCAGTAAAGGTGTGTTTAATGCAGGGCATCTGTGCATTTGCATGTAAAAGCTGGATTAGGCTCTAAATCACATTTTTCAAACCTGTTAACATTATACATGTTTGGTGCGGATGCATTTAGACTCCTAATTCTTTCATTAATATACTGGTTGTAATCCAGGGGTGGGGGGGGGACACCAAACACTTGCTTTGCCCGGTCGGCTAAGAAGAGCATCTGCTTGTCTCCTCGCTGGGCTTACTGAAGCTTGGAGCAGGCATGTGGCTTCATGTGTCTGCTTCAGCACACAGGCTCTGCTCCTGCCTGAAGGGCTCGTGAATAGAATTTGGTGATCACAGCCCATTTCAAGCTTGTCCATTGCACAAGTATCTAGGACAGCATTAATGATGGTCAAGGATTGAATAGACTCAGAAACTGGTCAGTCTTCCAACCATAGAAGAGGTGGCCCGATAACAGGGCCTGGAGATGCATGGACAGGATTTACTACCTCACTCTTGCCCTGAGCAAGTAGATGAGTTCCTTTTACAGACCTGTCTCTTTAATAATTTTTGTATGGGCTAAATTCACATGAACCTTTTTTATTGGTTAAAGGTAAATCATTAGGAGAGTAAACCAGTGTAAAGCAATATAAATAACTGGATCACAGTAAGGGAGAAATATATTTTATTTTGACGTTACGGTTACTTCTGAGGACCAGTTCTTAAATAGAAGTATAAAGCTGAATATACGTTTGTATGCTGTCTTTTGGAAGTGTGTTTGGAAATGAAACCTGAAGTTCTCTAATCTGCATGCAGTTGTTAAATACCAGTAGGTAGTAACCATAACTATATGCATTTTTTCCTGTGCTAGTGTGACTGACTGCTTGAAAAAGGATGTCCTGGATATTTCCGGGGAAGTTTTTAGTAAAATTAGTATGCCATTAGGCAACCTAATTTTCTTCTCCATGTTATCAGGATATTGACTTGGCACCCAAAAAAGTCACCTGGTTCATATGTCTGAAAAGTGACTAAAACTATGTGGTCTTTTTCTAATTGTATGGTATGTGGGAGAAATGGCAGGACATTAATAGATTTTTTTCATCATTATTCTTCCTCCAGCATGGGAGATTGTGTAGTGGAGACCATATCTTGAAAATTGGTGATACGGACCTGGCTGGAATGAGCAGTGAGCAGGTGGCACAAGTTCTGAGGCAGTGTGGAAATCGAGTGAAACTGGTAATTGCAAGAGGTCCTATTGAGGAGGCACCTCCACCAGCAGTCCCTCCAGGTACACCAGTACCCATCTCCACACCAGAGAAACAGGTAAGCAACAGTGAATATACTTCACTCATGGCAAACTTTTACTTCAAACTTCCTTTTCTTTTAACTGCTATTTGAATGTCTTTCACGGTTATGTTCTCAAAAGCCAGGATTTTCTTTCCCAGTAGTGGTGTTCCCAGCTGACAGTCTGGGAGAATTTAAATGTCATGAGTCCACAATGCAAAGAACTATATGCTTGAAGCCTTTTGAGATCAAGGCTTAGGACTTCCATAAGTATGATCTGAATAACTTCTGCTTCTGGGTTGCTTGTGGTTGTGCAGTAATACATTGGGAACAACTGAAACCATGCAGTCTTTTCTTCAGACAGAGCAAGCTGGCTCTGTAGTATTTCTCTGTCTGCCTGTGCTTTTCCTCTCCATGAACATTTCTTACTTCCATATCATTGCAGCCATCCATCAGACAGTTCCTCCCTGTGCCAACCAGCACACAGATGCTGCTTCTTTCCTACATCACCTGGCATTGCTCACTTGCTAGACATCTTCCAAAAAAAGTCAGCCAGCTGCTACCCTTATTCCCCTGCTGATGATTGTACTCTCTGTGCTTGTTACTCCTCTACAACCGTCAGCCACTTAAAAAATGCTGTAAATTTTATCATGTCTTGTCAGCTCAAAACCTCTACAAAATAGGTCATTTGCATGTTTGCAGCGAAGCCTGGTTTCATGGGAGCCAGGAACAGTAGTGTTTTGTCACATATAGTTATGACCAGATACATTTAAATGTGAATATGTGGAATAAATGAATGAGAGAAGAAAAAGGTGGTTGTTTTTGAGTCTACAACTAGATTGAATTTATGCCTTACAAAGAATTTTTTATTTTACTTTTTCCTGTTGTTTTTCTAGACATTTTCTTCCCAGTTACAAATTACATTTCAGATAGGTCAGTTTGGAAGAAAAAAAGCCTTAACAAGTTTTGCATGTTTACCATTTTTTTTGCCTCTGTCCATTGTAGTGGTATCTGTGGAAAACAAACATATATTCATCTCCTCTTTTGTGTCTATACGGCAAAGAAAGTTAATCTTAACATGGAGTCTTCTGAGCATCTAAGAGGAGAGACAGACTGGTACTTCTGTGTCTCTACAGCACTCAGTGGCATGAAAACCTGCCTGTATTTTAGATAAAGGGATCAATATTTAGCCTGAATATTATTTATCTGAAAAGCAGCAGTCTTAAAAGAGATGCTGTATTTGATATTTTCATCTGTGTTTATTTCTTCAGTATTTGCCTTTCTGGGGTTATATGATGCGATGTTGAAGGCCATATCTGCAGCTGCAGGATGTATAGGATTTCTAGTACCGAGGAAATAGCTCAAAGCCACCAAGTGGCAAAATTTGACTTTTTTGCAACCTTCCTCTCCATTGCCATTGTTCCTGGTACATCTCTCCTGCAGGAGGCAGGCTATTTTTAAACTGCTTCTGCCTGCACAAAGTCTTGTTCTTGGAGGGAGCACCCGGTTAACGGTGCTGCAAGCCTCATTAATTCAGGTCTGGAGTGAAGATGATGATGGAAACAGCTTGGTTTGTCTATTTCTTCCTGGCAAATACAGGGTGGGTGAAAACTTCATGATGCTCTTAAAGCTATTAGTGAGAACAGAATGGCTTTCCAAAATGTGCATTTCTCATCATATCCCCTGTAGATGTCTATCCTGTAAAAAATTCATGAGGTTATGGAAATATGAGCAGTTTTTTAGTGGCATTACCTGTGGCCAAAATAATCTTGTATTACCAAGCACAGAGGTAGTTAAAGCAGTAGACATTTATTTTTCTTGTGTTTGATTGTGGTTTTGGGTGGAGTTGTTCAGATAAAGAACTGAAGTCAGATTCTCTTTCGGCAAGTAGCATCATAGCTCTCCTGAATTCTTTTTTTTGGCACATGCATACTCATCTAGTCAAACTGGGTTTAGTTAGTATCTGCCTGGATGCCATATTGGCACTTCAAAAAATATTAGGTGCTACTTGTCATGCAGAAGATACAAAATAAAATAAGAGTATATCAGGATCTTGATAGATTTGTACTATATTTATGAGTTCCTGTTTTAAATAGGTGCATAGATACTGATGTCCATATAAATACAATGAAATTGAAGCCTTGTATATGTTATCATATACTGATATATATCAGCTATGGAAGTGGCCAGTAAGTATCTGTTTTAGACAGCTGAAAGATGACAAATTTTTAAAAAAACTTTTTTAAAGTTGAAATTAAGTTTTAGAAGTTTATTTTTTTCTTCTAATACGAAAGCAGTATTGTTGAAATGGGTTTTTAATATGTATTGTACTTCCATTAACAATAAATAAATGAATTCATTACCCAAAAAATTCTTTGTTCTTGAAATTCAGAGGGCTGTAGTAGGTGTTAGGGGAGATTGACATTATTTAACTAGCTGGAAGTAGAATTGCTACTTTCTAAAACAGAATTTTTAAGTCTTTCGAAAACAAGAAACATAATTGCCTCAATAGAAATAGCTTTTATTATGTTTTAAACTTGGCATGCTTAGGAAAAAAATAGCTATGGTTATTGAACAGGAATTTAAACAAATAGAGTACAAAATATAATTTTGATCTTTTTTCCTCTTTTAAATAACACAGCAGTCTAAAGCTGGTTCTAAGAAGGTCCCAGAAGAGCAGCAAGCTACATATTCTAACGTTTAAGCATGATTTGTGTAACTTACTGTACAAGAGGTTCATTGTTCAATTTGTACAAATTTCACCAGTCATTTTAGTCATCAAATAATAATTTTATAGGTTAGAGGGTAATATCCCAGGTGCAGTGGGGCAGGGAGACCATGACCTGCATTGCCTTACAGTGAGGATTGTTACTTATGTCTAGTTTCTCTGCTGAATACCAAATAAGAGCAGAAGCAAAGTTGGTGCTTTCTTTTTTACATTTGTGTCTAATTTTACAATTTTATGACATCAAAGAATGTGGTGGATCTTTAAAGAAAAAAAAGCTTCCTTTCTAATCATGCTTCTCTTATTAGGCAGATGCTTCTGTTGATAACTGTGAAGATGGGGAGAAATTTAATGTTGAACTCACTAAAAACAACCAGGGATTAGGAATAACTATTGCTGGTTACATTGGAGACAAAACATCAGGTAATGATCAATTCCTGCATTTTTCTATACAATCTGTTGCATATTATGGTGTATGTGCATCAAACACTTAATTTTAGTTTTGGTATTACATTTCTAAGAAAAACCTTGACCATCTAAAACGTTTTTAAAGTTTGCAAAGAAAAAGGAACTGTTTTCCTTTTGTGAGAAGGACATTCAGATTAGAAGCAATTAATTTTATCATAAAATCCCACCTCAGCATTTTTTAATCAATTTTTATATTCAGTCTTGGCTAAAGCTTGTGCTTCTGTTTTTGCAAAACAATTCTAAAATAGATGGAGCCATTTTTGTTGGAACTGGCTGGGCTTTAAAATTACATTTGCATTTTTAAAAGGCTCTTACAAGATAATACATTAGTATTCGGAGTAGTTTTAGGAAGTATTGTTATTTTTTAAACAATTGTATAGTACTGCTGGCAGATCAATAATTCCTTCGTGACCTCTGGATATAATAAATGTTTGTTGACCTCTGGGCTGTTGCAGCCAATAAATAAGTTAATTTAAATAAATAAATGCAACAGTGTTCATGTACAGTTGTGTATTTTTACTTTGTAATTTCCACTAAATTTTTCAGAAAAATGATCCAGAACTCTATTAGGCCTCCCTAGGGGGAGGCAAATGCAATACTGCTAGGAAGGGACAGTTGTTGAATGTGTTGTAAAACTTCTCCGAGAGCTGTTGGCTTGACTTTTACCCATGTTTATATTGTTAGAAAAATGTAAGGATAGATATATCCCACGTTATTGGCAGTTTATAGACATAACTTGTTGGCTTGGGAAGCTGGACTAAATTTTAACAATCTGTTCCATAGGACAGGATGGTCACAGTTTGTGTAAGTTCACTCTTTAGCAGCTTCCAGTTGAATCTTTAAAAGGCAAATTAAATTGTAGAACATGTAATAGATCTAATAGCATATTTTAACTGATTTAGTGTTGGAGTATCACAAATCTTTAATTCTAAATTATTGTGCTCCATGTAACTGCATTAGAAAATATTCTTCCCCTGAGAACTAATGGGGCATCTCAGTTTTGTGGGTTAACACTTAGTTAAAGCCCAACTTTGCTGTCATAGAAGCAGCAATAAAACTACTGGACAGCAAGATCTGCAGCTGAATCTTTAATGAATGACAAATAGCAACTTGTCATGTTACCATACAGTTGTTACAGGATATAAAAACGCTTGGAAGTTACTAAGACTAAGCCGTATAATTATTCACAAAACCTGGTGTGCTGGTTTTGGCTTGCATAGGATTAATTTTCTTCATAGTAGCTGGTATGGGGCTGTGGTTTGGATTTGTGCTGGAAACAGTGTTGATAACACAGGGATGTTTTAGTTACTGCTGAGCAGTGCTGACACAGAGTCAAGGCCTTTTCTGCTTCTCACACCACCCCACCAGCGAGTAGGCTGGGGGTGCACAAGAAGCTGGGAGGGGACACAGCTGGGACAGCTGACCCCAACTGACCAAAGGGATATTCCATACCATATGACGTCATGCTCAGCAATAAAACTAGGGGGAAGGTTGGCAGGGGGGCCGCTGCCCGAGGACTGTCTGGGCATCGGTCAGTTGGTGGTGAGCAGTTGTTTTCATTTGTATCACTTGTCTTTCTTGGGTTTTAATTCTCTCTCTTTGTTATTTTCCTTATTATTATTATTATTATTATTTTATTTCAATTATTAAACTGTTCCTATCTCAACTCTTGAGTTTTTCACTTTTACCCTTCCAATTCTCTTCCCCCGTCCTGCTGACGGGGGGGGAGTGAGTGAGTGGCTGTGTGGTGCTTATTAGTTGCTGGCTGAGGTTAAACCACGACACCTGGGAAAACAATAAATTAAGAAAAAACAGAAAAGAATTGTCAATGTCATGACTTAAATATATTTGTAGTCTTATTCTTCCTAAGCTGAATATAGTCATTAGAGCAAAACATAGATTTAGCCCTCCTTCCTGCTAACTTTTGTCATATTAGGCCCAGTAAAAGATGAGTTTCAGGTCTGCAAAGGCACTAGGGTGTCTTGGCAGCTGTTAAAACCCATTTTGTAGTGGATTATCTTCCCATCAAAAGTATTCATTTAACAGAGTTGGAACATTTGTCGTGAGAACGTAGATTTTGTTAAGATTTCTGATACCAGTGTTACAGGCCTGTGATCCTCAGACCTGATTTCATTCCAGTTCATGCTAGTATTTTTATTGATTTCATGTATACTATGCAAAATGTGCATGTAGGAACTCCATAGATTTTCACTTTACTGAGCTGCTGAATTTGTTTCAAATTCCAGTGTGTTTTTCCTGAAATGGATTTCCTCTTGTAAAATGTCCCTTCTGTAGGTGTTTTATATATATGACTTTTCCTTCTGATTCAAAATCAGTAACTGTCTAAAATGGTTCTGTTTTGGGGTTTGGGTTTTTTTTTCTTTTGTGTTTTCTTTTTTTATTGGATCAAATACTGACTTGCAGCTGTAGTTAAAAGCTGGTTCAAATGTAATTTGTAGTCCTGCTTGCTTATAATTTTCTGCATTTGGTTATCCAAGTGTGCATTTTCTTAAGCAGTTATTAAGTACATAGCAAATACAGAATTTACCAGGTTAGTGTACTCAAACTGACTTTTCTGTCCTGCAGTTTTACATCTGACCAAGAGTAAGAGATAAATTTTTTGTCAATATTGGTTTCAACATTTAGATTAAAATAAGTTAGAGTATTTCTTCTTTTGCAGCAAGAAGGGGAATTCGGCGTTGTAAGACTTTGAATGAGATCTGGTGCAGTGCAAGCTGACATTAATCAGGCTCATCCTTTAGGAAAATAATAATACATTTGTTTTACTTAAAGCATATACTTTCTTGATGATTCTTTCCTTATCTTACGTGGAGATTGTGTTTTCTTTCTTTTTCTCCCTTTGGCCGGTGGCATTATTTGGAGATTGTTGCATTAATTAAATTGTTTCTTAATAAATTAGTTAATTTAGTTTTCTCTGTTTCTTCATCCCAGAACCTTCTGGTATCTTTGTGAAAAGCATTACAAAAGGCAGTGCTGTTGAACACGATGGCAGAATCCATGTGGGAGATCAAATTATAGTTGTAAGTAAACAGAAAGAAATGAGATCACTTGTCTGCAAAACTCCACTTCTTTAAGTTGTGAAGAGATGCTCATATACTATGTGTTTAAAACATTTAGGATTGGTGTTGAAATGGTGAGTCCTTTTTTGACTGAGTATTCGATCACATTATCTTTCTGATTACGCTGCTTGTGTGTAACTTGTGTTTCTCAAGAAAATCTGTGTTGTATGTGTGTATCTTATCAGTAGGAGCTTTGAGACTGCTTAGTAAAGGCAAAGTTTCAGTTTGATTCAAATTAAGCAACTGTGTTCAAAATGATTTTTAAAAGTATGTCATTAAAGTTTTAGATGCTCAGAGAAAGAAGAAAATACTTTCATGCCTAAAGTGTTAATTGTGTGGTGAAAATCAGGTCATGAATGCAGGAACCGTGTTTTTGTGGCTGTCATAGATCTGGCCTTGAATTTGTGCGAAGGCAGCACTAAGAACAGGTTATGGTCTCTCTCCCAGTACAAATGTGCCTGCATGTTTGTATGTGGAAGTATATATGTTTTTTATAATGATGTAAATGCTGAGTACAAATGGCTAAAATTGATTATTTCAAAGTTTGATTTCTTCTTCTACTGCAGATGCAGAAGGAGAAGAAGATTTGAGTGACCTCACACAAAAGAATAATAAACTTTTTAAAATAGAGTTTGCTTAAATGTGGAGGAAAAATTAAATAACCCCAGCTCATTTTTAATTATATTTAGAAGAGCACCAGAGTTGGAAGAAGTTCAGAGAGGGGCAACAAAACGATTAAGGGTCCAGGGGGAGTCATTCTTCATGCAGGAGGAATTAAAATAATGGAATATGTATGTTTTATAGATAGACTGAAACAACTACAGGAGTCAAGGAATATAGTATTTTTAGAGGTATTTCAGAAATTCAAGGTGCTGAGGGGTGAGACAGAGAAAGAATAGGATAATATGGAGTTTGCAGGGAGAAGGAGAATAAAAAGCGGAGTGTACTAGGGATAATGCGATGAAATTGAGCAACGCCAAAGTCTTGAGTCCCAGAAGAAAACCCTGAGTTAATGAGGTAATGGGGTTGCTTCAAACAGAAGAGGCCAAAATCTTGTTCTTTAGAATATTAAAATGACAGACCAGAGAGAACATCTGGCTAGCTGGGACAGTGTTTGATCAGGAAATTGGACTTCACGGTGTTCAGTAGTAGACTTCACTGTGTCTGACGTTACCTGGCCTCAGAACGGCTGCGCTCTGTAGTTCTTTCTACCACAGTGGACGGATGTGTCTCCTCACCCGTTCCTCCCCAGCTCTCCCAGCCATGGCTGTGTTGGTTTATTCACCCAGTATTTTCTCCTCAGCGGTGGGGATGGCTGAAGTGGTTGAGCAGGCAGGCTGCACAATGTGCCCAGCACAGCGTGTGCTGTGTCCTCTCCCACCTGGTAAAGCAGATCTGCCTGGCCCCGCTGTGGTGGGCACCCAAAGCACTTCTCCCCAGTTTGCTGTGGTACTGGTTGTTACCTAGCTGTGGGGTACTCCAGTGAAAGTGCTTAGTGTATCCAATGTTGTTAAGTCATCCAGGTTTTTGTTCTCGTCCCTCCGCTTGCTTTGTGCTCAGGCTAACAAATGCTGAGAGCTCACCATATTATTTTGCCCTAGACGTTTTTTTTTCTGTGTGGTGTTTTGTGGGCTGAAAAGCTGCTTAATCCTGCAGGTGGATGGAACAAATCTTCAGGGTTTTACTAACCAGCAGGCAGTTGATGTTTTGCGGCACACGGGACAAACGGTTCGTCTCACTTTGATCAGAAGAGGGCTTAAGCAGGAAAATCATATTCAGCCCCAGGAGGACTTCAGTGCTGCTGTTGAAAAGGACTTACTGTTCCAAACAATGGATAGTAGCACAGCCAAAGGTAATTAAAACTGGCTTTGCTTTAAAGTTGGCTTGAAACATTTTGCTTCTCAATTGCAAACTGGAAATAAAATGGGCCAGATTCATTCCGGGTAGCTATTACTGATGGCAGAGCTGCTGTACATGAGCAGAGAATTTCATCTACTATGGTTTGATTAATCTGTTAGACACAGTGGTATTACTTGCTACATTTTCAAAGTGAGTGTTGAAAGCTCTGCACTGCATTGCACTTCTGGCTGAATTGCTTCAAGACTTTGATCCTGCAAATCTTCAAATGGTAAGAAGGCAGTGAATGTTTATTCGTGCTCAAGGGTGAGAGCTGCATTCAAGAGCGAGCAAAGAGATACCCTCCACAATGAGCAAAAGCAAGTCTCAGTTCCTTTCGCTCTTGTGTGTCAGTGTCACAAGCTTGAGGTATGAGAGGAGTGGCCTATATCTAGAGGTTATTAATAATCTGATAAACTATATATGTGTACAAAGTTCAGAAGCCAATGACCATATTAATTTTGCTGCTGCTGAGATGAGATTAGTGAAGCTTAATCTTATACTGTGCACATCTTGAAGTATATGTGCCAGATCTTGAAAGTGTTTGAACAGAGTGTCTGCACAGAGGCTGGATGCACAAACAGATTTTTTTCAGCTACTTGTGTTATAGGTTGATGTCAGCAGAAATATGTCACAACTCATAGACTGAGGCATAATCCCCACCTCGCACAAAATTTTGAATGACCCAGTAGAATGTTATCTGTATGGCATCCTCTCATTCTCACGTTTAGCAAAAATTACAGAGGAAATGCTCAAAGGTGCTGTTTCTCCAGCCTAGGGGTGTCAAGACAGCTGACAGCCAGCAACATACCTAACAGAACTCTGTGGTAGGAGAGGCTTTCTACAAGTGAAAAGTCTGTCAGGTATGCAGGTCTCCAAGTCTGTAGCATTTTTGTTTTTCAGTGTCAGCTTCCTGAATTGCACAAAGGAAAGAAGAGGAAGGAAAAAAGTCGGTAATACAAGGGTGCTAAAGAGTGTTACATTTACATGTTTTCCAGTAACTTTTCTTTCAATCATAGAGATGCAGCTACTGATAGTTGTGCTTTTTCTGTCTTGTTTCATTGAAAAATTCACTGGAGAAGGCAAAACATTAACAGAGGAGAAAATGTCTTTAAATTACGGCATTTCTTGGGCCCCTTATGCCAGATTCCATTTGCCAAATATGGATTCTCTGAAGTCCAGTGAAAAAGAGAGTCAGTGCCCTGAGGCATGCCTGTGAGCTTCATGAATATTGCAACACATAAAATAGCTGAAAAGGCTTCTTCTTCTTTTTCCAGATAACAGTGAAATAGAACAGGGCTCCCCATCACTGCCATGCAGTGCCAGTGTGGTAAATATCGAAGAGGACATGAAACAACAGGAAACAGGTTTGCAACATTTAATACTTTATTCTGTGAAAATGCACTTGGGTGTGCATACACAAAGATCGGGTGTTTTGTGTGCCTTTCCATCTCCTCTGTGCTACGTAGCTGAGGTACAGCTAGAAAGTGAAAGTAATCATACATGTGAGCATGTACTCGAGTGCTGTAAGATCAGTGACCGCTGTATGTCTCTGAAAATAATTGTATGTTAAAGATGTCACATGAAGCAGTCTGCTTTTGCTACATGCTCAGCCCTCTTTTTAGTCTAGTTTTGTATTTCTACTCTTTATTCTAGTTGTGTATTAAACTTCTTCCCTTCTCATTCCCCAACATGCCTTAGCTTTCTAGCCCAGCTGCAGTTCCAGGACTTCTACCTCTTCTGATAAACTTCCTTTTCACGAATTCCTGAGCTTGCATTCATTTCAATCTGTGTTCTCTGATAATATTTGAAATTCAGTCAGTTCTGGTGCACTGATATGCTCTGACATTTCCCATACTCTTTGTGGAAATTCTTATTTTCTAATGGGTATTTTCCTTTCCCTCTCGAGCTGTTAGGGCGCTGTGGTGCATTTCAGAAGTCCTATGTCATGATATGTTTTCCAGATTGAGACAGCACTTGATGTGTTTCCTAACGTTGTCCTGCTTCCAGAGCTAGAGGGGAACTGAAAAGCATCACCCATATGAGTTCTGTAATACATATATTTTCATAACTCATGCTTTCCATTATCCTGGATAGCTGAAAAAAAAATTAACACCTTTCCTGCAGATACTGCAAGGTCTCTGCTGTGGGGAAAGTATTGTAATACTTGAATGCCACATAACACCTGGCTTTATTTTTAGTAATGTTTCTGAGCAATGACTAGATTTAAAACACTGTCTGAGGCTGTTAGTCACTTTAAATTCTTACTAAAAGTCAGTGGGAGTTGGGAACTTAATCTTGCAATGAAGATTTTAGTCTTCACCTGAGATGAGCATTCAGTCCTGAAGAGTTTATTTTGATACTTACTGTAGGCACAGCACAGACCATGGACCTTGAATATGTAGGGTCCTGTTAAATCTGCTGTGTTTGCTGACTGTTGTATCTAAATACTGCTTTTTATTGTTTCCTGTCGTAGAATCTAAACAGTGTGAATGAAGGGAAAATGAGCAGGAGGAAATAATTTCTGTTTTTTCAACCTGCAGATAAACTTTCAATCAAGTTAAGAGTTGCTGCAGTTTGCTGCCTAGCTTGTCATTGTAGTTTTCACAGCATCATTGCTTTTCTCTGCTCCTTCCCTTCCAATTTCATTTCTGCTCTTTAGCTATTACAATTGTTTCTCATTGTATGTGTGCATGTATGTGAATCTAACAAAAAAAAAAAAAAAAGAGTTAGGGCTTGAGTTCTCTCACTAAGACCCCCTATGGCCTACAGTTTCAAAAACATCTTTTACAGTTGTGCTCATAGTTTTGACAAAAGTACAAAACCTCCAGATTTTGTTTGAAAACCTTCCTTGGACACTCTCTGTAAAATGCAGGGTCTGTTCAAAAGGATCAATATGCAGTATCACATATGTAAGAATTTCGGCCATCCCCCTGAATCAATCTGATCAGCCCACATACAGTCTGGTTTAACAGATGCCTGGAGTATGCATGTAACTTTTTCATTTGCCTTGTGCCCATTATCTTGTAAAGTTGCATTGAATTCACTCAGCACTGAGGCTAGTTTAAATATGTGTCCTTTCTTCCCAGCCATTCACACCAAACTTTTTGACTGAACTTCCTGTCTTTCAAAATACACAGTTAGTTTTGCAGGGGGTGGGATCTAATATTATTTTGCAAGGTTTTCCTCTGGTAAACCCAAGCCCGGTGAGACAAAACAGGTTGTGTTTTCAGTCTTATTTAGGAGAGTTCTGGCATCACAGGAATGATTGTGTAGTCTTGCGTGGTCCATATACTTTATCAGTTATAGGAATAGACAGGATGTTTTACTTTTTTGTCACAGTAATCTCAGACATAACTTTTAGATTTCCAGCTAACTACTACAGAGGCAGCAGCTATGAAGGCAAAGTGGCAGAGGATTATGGGTTCGAATTATGAAATAGTGGTAGGTAAACTTTGATTACTATTACTAACTGCCCTTTGATCTGTATTATGTTGCTAACATACAGATACAAATATGTTTGTATTAAATTTGTTCCTTTATTTATAAAAATCATACATATACTTCTTAATATGTTGAGATTATTTTTATTATAAATTTTGAATATAGATATATGTTTTTCTGTATTGATTTTAGCAAAATAATCACAGGCTTCTTAGGTTACTGTGCCTGTGAGTATTGTTTCACAGATTTCCTAGCTTCAAGAGGATAAATGTGCATTAGAGGAAAAAATAATATTTAAGCTCCCTTCATTAGCCAGAAGCTAATGCTTGAAATGTCCTACCCATTCTGCATCCTGAATGAATTGTTTGATGTAATGATCTAAATAACGCATAGGATATTTACTGTAGGTACAGTTGAAAAGCAGTATCTGAGTTTAGGACTTTATTTCAAAATTATATGCCAGAGCTGTAGTCTCTGCAAAATTATGTATTATTAGATATATTGTTGTCATACACAGTTCCCACTTGTTTATGGTGAAGTGGTATGTGATCAAAGTTTCAGTTTTTACTTGACTGTCCCCTGATCCAAACATTTGTCACATTTTTACACAAATGCATTGCAGAGCCTCTTCCCCATCTGGCATAGGTTATATTGGATTGGGCTGTGTTTCAGTTTCTGTGCTTAAGGGGCTTTTCTTGTTGTTCTGCTTAAGAGTCTGAAGCACCACATAAAGGCAGGTAAAAGAGTAGGTCTGTGATGCTGACTTTCTATAAACATGCATGGGGTGACATAGTCGTGTTACTCCGGACAGGCTGTTTTGGCCTGTTGTGGTTCCTGGATAACACTCTGTGAATCCATAACAGTAGTTTCCTTTCCAGAATACTATTTTGTGATTGTGTAACTTTTCACTAAATGTAGCCTGCAGATTTTAGGTTTTATCTGGTATTTGTTTTCCTTCTCAGTGCTTTTCATCTTATGGGGAAGTTAAAGTTGGATTCTTTCTTTTAAGCTGCAGTTTTTATTTCCCTCAGTGCTGTTGAAAAACCTAAGCTAGTAACTTTGGATGCTTTTGCAGTTTAAAAGTCTGCATTACACAGACAATATTTCTGGTTTCTCACTTCTGGAATATTCACCTCATTGTATGTAAATTGAAATGCAAAGTAACAGGTACAGATGTAAATACGTCAGAAGTAACGATTTCTTAATCTTTTTTTAGGTGGCTGTCGTTAACAAATTTAGCGAAAGCAGTGGGTTAGGCATAAGCCTTGAAGCTACAGTGGGACATCATTTCATCAGATCTATCTTACCGGAGGGGCCAGTGGGACGGAGTGGCAAGCTGTTCAGTGGAGATGAGCTGCTGGAAGTAAGGAAAAATAACTACTTTATCTTATCCTGCATTCAGTAAGATTTTTGAGCAGTGACTTGCTTCTCACAGGTTATGACTTTGGGAATGTAGCATATGTAACTGCATACCAGCTGTAACCAGAAGTGCTTGAACAGTCACTTCATATGTACTTATACATATTTATATGAATGCATATGTTTACATGCATTTCTCAGCTGATAGCTGATGTTTTCAGATATGGTTCAAGGTCACCAAAAAAGAATACCTAGCAAAAGCATTAAAATTTAATAGGAATATCCCTACACAGTGAAGGGACTAAACACCTGTTTGCTTTTCTAAACCATTTTCTTGTAACTAAAATGTGAATTTGGTTCACATGAATGCAAGAAACATGAAGTGACAGAGTATGTGGTGTTTGTAGGGTGGTGTCACGCAATTTACGAGACTATCCATTCAGTTCAAAACTTATCTTGGTGCTCATTCTGAGCACCAAATTTAGCAGAAATTAAGGGTTGACAACGTCCATTAGCAGGGGTTTTTTTGTTGTTTTTTTTTTTTAAATCAGGTGATTAGTGGGTTGGGCTTTTGTTTTCTACCCATTTTTGTTCATTGTACTTCTAAACACTGTATATTCTTTATTTATTGAGGTGAATGATATCTCTTTGCTTGGAGAAAATCACAAGGATGTGGTCAATATCTTGAAAGAACTGCCTATTAAGGTGACAATGGTGTGCTGTCGTCCAGTAGCTCCCCCCATCACTCACCCAGAAGTACTGGAGAGTTTAAGTCTATCCGAGGTTCAGCTCACAGAAAAGGTATTTTGTCTTAAAAAAATCACTGAGAAAATGGTCATTTCCTTGAGAAAAAACATAAAGTTCTCATAAAAGATTAGAAAATACATTTTAATATTTTAGGACTTGGAACCAGATAAATTGAAAAAGGCAAATTATGTTCATCAACCGTACTTTAGGGCAACCAGAAGGTGTCAATCCTGGTAGTTCATCGGCAGAAATATTCTGGGATGCAGGTCTGTCTACCCAAGTACTTAACTTGTGTTCTGCAGGTAGACTGCAGGTGTATGGCAAACTGAACTGTGTGTTCTTTAGAATCTGAATATATTTAATCTGGTTTCAAACTTTGCTTTCTGGGTTTGTGTTGTGCAGAGCTGGCACAACACACTGGCAGACACAATTCTGCACTGATAAGTGCAAAGCTCTGGGCAGCCTGATGTACTAAATATGTAGGAATAGTCTGCCGTGTACTGTACAATGCAATAGCATTTGTATGAAAAGAGGCAGTTAATTCTGAGTTCTGCACAAGGCACCAAATTCAGCTTATTGTTGCTAAGCTTTTCTATGAAACCAAGGGGAGAGAACAACATATATGTGTGTGTATGTATGTGTGTCTGTTTTCTTTCTTTAAATGTTCTGATTCCTGTCAGTGCTACTATGTTTAGATCAAGGCATATTTTTAGGCATGCCGTTTAATGACAGATATTTCTGTATGTTTGTATACATGTACTAATGAAGTTTTCTGAAGTTGTTAGTTTGACAGAAATTCAATTTTGTAAATATTTTTCCAGTGAGTACTTTCATATACTTGCAGCATAGCTATTTTGTTACAAGGATATGTGAATTCTGTGCTAGCTTTATCAGACTTGTTAACTCTGCTGAGTGCTTGCACTTTATCTGCGTTTAGAGAAACATCACTTTGTTTTTATCTTGTTCTTGGTGAACAGAGTTTTGTCTCTGCAGATTCACAGACATTTACATTTTACTGGTGAACATGCACTGTTTTTCTCAGGCTCACATAGAACTTGGATTCATTGGCTCCTCGGACACAGAGGGAACGGCTTTGGAAATAACTGACGAGGGTCAGAGTGTGGAAGAGGTGCAAAGCTCATCTTTGGCAATGTGGGAAACAGAAGTACAGCACATTGAGCTCGAGAAAGGGAGTATGGGACTTGGATTTAGCATATTGGACTACCAGGTAACTTCTGCACTCCTTTCTTTGAGTAGAGGACAAAATACTTTTTGTTGTTTGGATCTCGCAATATGGTCTAAATACATATTTTAAGTGTAAATGTTAATGGAAACCAAGCGATAGAGTAAAGCTAAATGGATGTCACTACTGGTAGTATCCCAATAGCTACATTACTTATTCCTCTTACTGTATTTAGACTACAGGTTCTAATGATAATGGTTATACTGGTCCAGAAAAATATGTAATCCATAATATACCAGGGGCTTCAGAAAGCTCATCTGCTAGCGCCCCAGGGGCAATGAATGTTGTAGTCAGAATATTGAGGCATTTAGCCGTGTGTTTTGCACCTGCAGTGAGGTGCTTAGGGCAAGATCCAATAAAGGACTTAGGTGCTTAAAGCAGGATTTACTAAAATCCAGAACTGCAATTCTGAAATCCCTTGCTTAGCTGCTGTCTGTCCAGGACGTGCCTGAACATCCCCATTCATTTTGTGTTTGACTTCAGAATTCCTGGGTATCTCAAGCTGTGATTCTTGGTGTGTCCCAGTGAACAGCTCAGTGCCTGTCTCCTGCCTGCACTTGGTCAGGATTCCAGAACAAATGTTCCTCCTGTTCCCAGTTGTCACAGTGGATAATTTTTAATCGTTCAAAGTCAAGTAATTTCTCCCTGTGGTCTGCATAGGCTTTTCCTCAGCTGTTTGGTGGTGCTGTAAGATGCAGTCTCCTCCCAGGTCTCTGCTGGGAGAGGAGACCCTTGTCCCTAAGAGTATATGCATTTGCATCTGGAGGTCACTTCCAGGTGGAAATTATGCCCACAGGGCGCTGTTTAGAATTAATCTATGCCTCAGTAGTATTTTGCATTTGCACACTGATAAAGGTGAAAAGCAATGTAGTTTAATAATCTGAAGCATAAAGGCATAGTCAAGTATCTGTTTTACGAAACAGTGATCACTCTTTAATGTGTTGCTCATGATGCTCTGCAGTGAGACGCCATAGCTGAGCCTGAGTATTTGGAGTCCACGTCAGCACAAAGTAAAGCACGTTTTTGCTTCAGCCTCTTCTGAAGCATTGACACAAATGGTGGTTGCCTATGTGGTTAGTTACTGAATTTTGTTTATGGATGGTAATACTGAAGGGTTGTGGGAAGTACCTTAAATTGTTTCATATATTTTGCAAATATGAATTTGATTATATCCTACAGCTGTAGTCAGCGTTCTGAAACTTACCTTTTTTTTCGATGTTATAATATTTGTGATTTTGCCTATGTTCTCTCCTTTGAGATGTGGTTAAAACATTTCATTTTGTCACTGAAGTTTCTGCTTTCATCTAGGACTGTGAACAATAAGTTTACAGTGAGATTTATCTTCATATTTTGCTGTTTCCATCAAATTTTCAATTAATTTTCAATGAACAGTGACTAAAATTAAGGACAGTTATGTTCATACTCATACATTCCTCATGTTTTATATGATGGCAGGCCTGTAGGAAAGTCTACGTAAATTCTTAACCCAGGGAAGACTATCACATACACTAGAGAGGTGATTTTTTTCAAAAAATATGTCATGCAGTGTCATCTAAAGTGACAGTGTAAATACTTGTTGTTAAATTAGTGAGGAAGATGTCAGTGTTAGGGCTTAAGCACTATCTCCAGCAATGCTAGGTGTATTTCCACTTTTGAAGTGTTTTATTGCTCTATGGCATTCTTACTGCATTAACTGCCATGAAATGCTA